AATCATGTTGGGATGAAAGAAAATTTGATTACAATTTTATAGAAAGCTTACAACAGAGAATTTGAATACATTAAAAGTAAATTAAATATTGATTGATGAAAACTGAACATTACAATTGACAAAAGCAGAAAATTACAATTGTTGGTGCACGGGACGGACACCAGTGAGCTTGAAAGATTTTTGAATGACTAATACCCCCTATAATAGCATTCGGAACAAAAACCTAAGTAACAGGAGTAGATGTTTAAAAGACGAGGAATCATACTAAATGTTTACTAAAATCAGAGCCATTTTACAACTGAAATAACTATTACAATAAAAAAAATTACACTCAAACTTGAAGTAATATTTACAATGTGCGGCCGAAGTTAAACTACAACTGCGATAGTGTCAAGGGGCTAGGTAAAACTGCGATCCTTAACACCGTGGAACGCCGAAAACTTAAAAGTATATTACAAGTAACTCACTCCACCATGTTTTAGAAATAAGGCCTTCCTGCCAAGTTTATTTTTCAGCCTACGCGCCAAGACGATTTATAGAGTATATTACAGTTAAAGTTAAATCCGATGATCTACAAATAAAAGCCTTGCCTCGCGCAAGCAAATCAAGCATTGCCCTACCCAAGAAAATCAAAGCCTTGCCCTGCGCAACCAACTCAAGCCTTGCCCCCCCGCAAGCAATCAAAAAGCCTTACCCCGAACAAGCAAATCAAAGCCTTGCCTCGCGCAAGCAATCAAAAAGCTTTGCGCCACATAGAGACACCCAAGTAAAATTCCTGAGCACATAGAATCCCGAGCACTGAGGTGATGAAACTTATAAAAAGGCAGGGTTGTCCTCAAGAATTTAGCTCAGGAATCACACTGTACGTCGAGACTACCCTTGACCTCAAAAGCAAGAGAACAAGGATCGATAATAAGCTCGAGCTTGTTACCTTTGAGCGTCCAATCTATGCTCGGTATGCTTAACTAAATCCTCAGGATAAGGACCCCAAAGTAAAGATCGAGCTTCTTACTTGTTCGCCAGGTCAAGTCTTCCCCAATATAATGATCAAGGAACGTCAATTACAATTGTCATTTAGTCCTCAAGAAAATTTCCATATTAAGGGATGACCTTACTAAGATCGAGTTACCACTGTCTGAAACTTCATATGGATTAAGTCCTTGAGATTTTTTAGCAGTTTATCAATTCGTCTTAAGCATCAAGTTGTTAATTCATCTTAGGCGTCGAGATATCAATTTATCTTAGGCGTCGAGATGTTTATTCGTCTGAGGCGTCGAGATATCAATTAATTTTGGGCATCGAGATATTTAATTTATCTAAAGCATCGAGATATCAATTCATCTTAGGCGTCTAGTTATTTAATTCGTCTTAAACGTCGAGCTATTTAATTTGTCCTGATCGTCAAGATGCCCAAGACATCAACCATACAAGTCCTCGTGCCTTGAAAAAACGTCGATAAGTAAAACATTAATTAAGATCGAGCAAAATACTTAAATTTCCCCAAAACACAAAAAAAAATGTCATTATGTTCAATATAAATGCTCAAGAACTCTAGTCCTCAATATTCTGGCTGGGCTAGTCTTCCTCGGCGTCGTCACCTTTGATGTCCACCTCCTCGTCATCAACATTCTCCTCCAACTTGGAGAGGGCGAGGTCCTCAGCCACCCGTGGGATAGTCTTCAAGTCCTCGGGCCTTGTATCTAGCTTCGAGCAGATAAATGCTCGAGCCTCTTTCAGGGTATGAAAGTACGAGCTCATTGCGTATTCACCCTTGAGCTCATTGAAAACGTCAGACTTCTTGAAGTCCTCGACTGCATCCGCCCGAGCTCGAACCAGCCTCCTTTCATAATCCCTATGAATACTTTCAAGCTCGAGCTTCATCTCCTCAGCCTCATCCTTCATAACACCAACCTCTTCTCGAGCTTTCATGAGCTCACTATTTATCTTCTCACGCTCCCTCAGCAGCTAAGCGCGCTCGGCCTCAAGATCGGCAATTCTCCCATCACGAGCAATGAGGGAGTCCTCATCTTTCCCCTTCAAAGATAGACCTCAAGCGATGCTTAACGTCTGGAAAAAATAGGACGAATAGAAGCTTAATAAAACCTCGATCAAAAAAGATGTAAAAATGCCTAAACTGATAATTTCGGGTTACATGACCGACGTACCTTTAGCGTCATGGCCTCGAGGGCCCTCATGCCTTCATTAATGCCAATACCTCCTCGGTACTGGTCCACAATTCTTGGTAAAAATTGACACCGAGTTTGGTCCTCTGAGGGGACAAAGCATGGCGACAAAGACTCGTCCTCGAGGTCGACCACTTCGATGGGCTCTCGAGGATGAGGAATGCTCCGAGGTGTACCCTGAGGGGTTGGGTGCTCAACCCTCTCCCACTCCGTGGCCAAGGATTTCCCCCTTTGTTGTGATGATTCGCCAGGGCCACTCCTCTGTTTCTCGAGCTTTGAATCTCGAGGTCGTTTTTGTCCCTCTTTTGGCCGGGAGCCCGAGCTTGGGAGACCTTGGATTTCTTGCTAACCGCCTGACGTAGGGCAGTAGGATCAAACATCATTTCTACATAATAACATGTCATTAGCACGAGCATTAACAAATATAGGTAGAATAAAGAAAGCATTGAAAGTGCATATCCTACCCTTGACGCCTTCCACATTCGCGAGATCGAGGATGTCATCCCCGAGGACGTCATCTATATCATACACCAAAGGCTCGAGATTCTCTAACATCAGCCTATCCCTCTCTAAGGACTCAAAATAGACTTGACCCTCACAAAACCTCGCAGTATCTAGTAACACCCACTGGCGACTGAAAGGAAGGTCGGAATCTTGAGTCACGACGTAAAACCATTTTTCCTTCCACCCTTTTAACGAACTAGTCATACTCGGGATCCTAAACCCTCCTTGAGATGAAAGGTAGGCAAAACATGTGAACTGGGGAAGTTGTTTCAGGTTGAACACCATTCTGCATAAGTCTAGGTATGGGGTAATTCCTAGGTACCTACAAGCTACAAAAATAGGTCAGCATTCTCCACCCATTCGGCACTAGCTGCCCGGGGCTTATATTATACTCAGTCAACATGGTGACAAAGAATGGGTTCACGGGCCACCTAAACCCCCCTTTAAAGAATCACTGAAAATCACAAACTCTTTGTCCCGAGCTAAAGCCATCCTATCCCCATCCTCGGGATGCCTAATATCGCAACTTGGCATAAGGTCATATTCCCTAGCCAACGATATCGCTAGGTGTTCCTTAAACCTATAGGGTTGATCGGGATATCTAAATAACGTCGGATTATCCTGAGCTCGAGGCTGAGCATTAAGTTCTCGAGCTCTAACCTGATACCGACGATTGCGAGAAAAATTTACTCAGAGTGAAAAATTAAAAAGTAAATAGCGAAAGGGGTATTTATAGAAGGCCTGAGTGAGAGCCCAAAAGTCGCTTGCACAACCGTCCGATCACACCACGTGTCCGCCATCCAAGGGCTCAAGCTTTCCACTGCCTTACTTGTTTAGGGCTAATGTCATCAGGACGTCAGCTTTTAAACACCTATCTTCAAAACCACCTGAGCATTTGCACACTAGTCACCTTCGAACCTATTTGCACCATATCCTCGAGCGAAAGCTTTGAGCATAGGTGTACGAGGGCCAGTGATACTGTCATTCCTTGCATAACCCGAGCACGATATAATCCCGATGACTATAGGTAACCTACTTTTACGTTACCCGGTCATTAAAGCTCGGGATTCACCAAGTCCTCGGGACATCCTCTTCCCGACCTTGATGGTTCAACTAACTATCACAAAATACGGGATGTCCTCGAGAATAAGACCTCAAGAAAATCCCTTGAGGTCCTCACCTACCATCCTCCCCGTACTATGGAGAAGGTCTGTCCCTTGAGAACTCTTATCTGACACAAATACCTCAAACCACATCTACTAAATCCAAGAGAGTCCTCTTAATAATTGGTCTCCTAATCACAGTAGGATTCAAACGTTGCTTTCTCATGGGACTCTATCGGATAAGGATTCCTAGATCGTTGAGTCCTACTAGGAGAATGTCACCCATCACCATAAATACAGAACCATGGGTCATTATTCAGGTACGTTCTCATTATTCTCCAGTTTATAGCCTTGCGTATATAATTCCCTTTCTGACTTAAGCATCGGAGGAGCGACGAGAACACACCTCGTTGCCTTTGTTTCAAGAATCGGAAGACTACCATCGTGCTCATTCAAAATCCTCAAGCTCGAGAAATCAATAGGTACGATTTTTGGCAGCATCAATATCATTGAATTTGATATTTTAATTTTAACAAAGATTCCCCCCCCCCCCAAATCGAGCCCGTATAATTCCAGAATACAAATAGTCCATTATTTCTTTCACTGGACAACTCCCCTTTCATTGTCCTCATTCTATTAAATAAATGATGTTGAAAAATGAATTGGATAAAAAAATGGAAAAGAAATAATAGTAGTGAGAGAACATCCGAATTTCGATTTGGACCCATAAGACCATTTCGAAAAGAGAACAACGAGACAAATAATACTCGTAGCTATACCACATACGAAGGATTTCAACCATTAGAAGTTTTTAGGACTCAAAAACTAATTTTTGAAGTTTTAGCGCTATTTCTATCATTTAATTTATTTTGAATTCTTTTCAATTTTAATTTGTTTTAAACCTTGTTTTCATTAATTTTAATCATCTTAAACTAGATTTTCTTGTAAACCCCTATAAATAAAGGGTTATTTCATTATTTTGATCATCTTTTTATTAATAAAACTTGTGAGTATAATCTTATGGATTCCAGATTTCGTATTCTCAAAGTTTCCGCTTGAATTCCTAAATTCGGCGTCAATAAACTAGACTAGAAAGTAACAACCTAAGTCTGGTCAATTCATCCATCCAAGTAAGTCGTTTTTTCATTATCTAGAAATGTCTCAAGTGGTCTAACCCGCCATAGACTAGGAACAGTCCATTCTTATCCCGTTTTACTTAAAACTTCTCTTTTAGGTATTGCAGAAAAGTAATGAGGACCCATAATTGAACAATTGGCAAAGTAGCAATCCGGTGAGAGAGAGCTGCTAAGTTAAAGATAAGACAGAAGTATCCATATCCATATGGACCATACTCATAAATCTCTGTCACAACCTACTTTTTTCCAGCAGAATCATAACATTACCAGAGCCAGCCTTTGTACATCAAAGCAATCACAATGCTGCAACTTCAAACCCTATCCACACATCACCAACTTGTACTAACAAAACTCTTTCTAATCGTCCAACCCTCTTAAATATTGGCAAAATTTCCATCCACATGATCCACAACTGTGTTCAACTTGAGTCGACCAAATTAAAGCCGAAGAAACCTGTAAAACATTTATCCATTATCATTTTCGATTCTTGCAAGACATACCCTTTAATCTTTGTCAAGACTTGCATACTTTTCATCACAATAGTTATGACAACCAAGAGATATGTTTAATTTACAAAACATTAGTACACCATTTGACAAACCTCTACTTCCATTTATTATATTATAAAAAGAATCGAAACCTTTACCATATTTTATACACAGTGGAGTCGAATAAATATTTCTTATTATGAAAACATAGGCACAAGTACAACATTCCCTAGCAAACCTCTTTTTTAACACTAGCAACATTTAATAACACAATGAACCCACAATTACATCATGTTGTGCTCGATACACGAACGTCCCACAACAAATGACACCGTAGAAAAATAATTACTCCGTAACAAAAAAACACAAACAAATCTTAGACACAATTGCAACATTCAACAACATAAAATGAATCCATGATTTCACCATATATCTATACACAAGAATATTCTATTCAACGATAACTGAAACCACAACCCATAATATTTTCTCACAAAAACGAACAAACATAGATAAGGGCACCATATTACATAGAACCGTTCAAGAAATATCAAACAAGAAAAGATGAAACATTTGCATTGTTAAGAATAAAATTGCCCTAACAACCTCGTTGCATATATGATTCATCTTCGTCATCGTTCATAGGATCAAGGCTTCTAATTATTAACGAATCCATATTTGGTGTTAGCACTTTATCTCCTCACTCTTCTTGGCATTGTCCTTCCTAATTTCTATGAAGGGGCTAAAGTATCAAAGACTAATATTTCGAAAAAATGTGTGATTGAAAATGAATTCAGACGAGACTGAGGTTCAAACAGGGACATTATAAGTAACACATTTCCTTAAAGCAACCGTCTTTTTACTCCAACAACAAATTAATTCTCTATTTTAATAGTAAATTGTCTTTCTTAATTAGGTATTATATGCATTTGAAAATTGCTTTTATCCACGAAAATTTAGAGAATAATTCGTTGGAGTAATTAATCAATAAATTTGATGCCTCCCAGTGTCATTGATCATTTAAAAGTTGACAGAATTACTCTAATTAACAAAAACTAACAAATTTTCTCAATAAGATTGATGTCACCAACCGAATGAAGTCTCGATCAGAAATGCGGCGGAGGTGGTGGCGGCTGTCTAGCGGCGGGAGCCCAGATCACATCAGAAGATTGATAAGTATAAACGGGAATTCTACTAGAGTCGGCAGCCGGAGGCGGCGGAGGGCCACTATCTCCTAACCTAGAAAGCTCCGGAGGAGACTGCTGCCGCTCCTCACCGGAGTGGTGGGGGTCATCTTCAAGCGGCAACTTTTGGAAAGATGGACTACTAAACGTGGCAGCGATCAGATAAATAGTTCCGGCAGAGATCAACGGCCCGACCACGAGCCCACCTATTACCTGACCATGCGGTCCCGCCAGTGATATTTTGAAACCGTCGTCTGTCGCCGGAATATTTCCTGGTAAAACAGTAGCGGAAATCGATAAGATGTTGAAATGCCCACGAAATGTGACGACGGCGCCGGGAGTTGACGATATCTGTTTGAGATTAACATTCGCAACAACCCCATTTCCATTAAGTATACAGAGACCCATATTCCTTTTTCTGCAAAACTGAGTAATGGCCTCGACGATATCATTGTTATCAGAAATTTCGAGAACATAAGGTTTCATAGATGGCTCAGGGTCTTGTGTGATGATAACCGGCGGCTTTGGTTTGTTTTTGGAGCCAGGCGGGCGGCCGCGTGGACGACGGACTACTTCGATACTGGCGCCGTCGTTGGCAGAGGTGGAAGGGTATCTTTGTGTATTGAAGGGAGTGGAGTGGCTTTGACTATCGGCCTCTTCATTTGGCATTCCCGGATGGTGATGCGGCGGAGAAGGTGTAGTAGTTAAGGATGGGTTGCGGCGGTGGCGGTGTTGGCTGGTTAGGGTGCTGGAAGTGTGGGTTTCTTGGCGTGGGTTAAACATAGATGGAATGGTCTATATATTAGAGAGAGAGAGAGATGAGATGAGATGAGGGTTTGGATCACACAATGAATCTTGAAAATGATCTCCTTCTCCAGTTTAGCTGCAGCAGAGAGTCAAAAGACCTACACCGCTAAGCTACGGCAGAAGCTGCAGTAAGCTTTATTTCGACTTCAAGACACTTCCTATGAGCCTGTTTGAGGCCTATTTTATTGGGCTTTGCTAAAGTGTGACATTTTGGCGTACAGCCATCTCGCACGAGGTTGAAATTTTTTTATTGGACGTAAATCCCCTCTTGTGAAGGGATTTTACACTTAAATTGACATTTAGTTTACAAATAGCAAAATTATATCTTTATTGGGATTTTTCTATTGTAGCAAATGAATTTTGACATCCTTCTTGACAGTTGTATATGTGACAATGTGTTTAAAATAATTCAATGATATGATATCACATGATATTATGTCAATCTCAAACTCTAAGTAAATATAGCATGATTGTTTTTATTGAGAATAATTCTACTTGGATAGAATTCTGTCCAAGTCGCGAGGCCTTTCTACTGAAAAATATATTTTGGAATAGTAAATTGATGAAAATTGTGTGGATAAAAAAGAAAAATTTTGGATTTACGTGTAATATATAAGGGTAATTAGCACAAAACGTCCCTACCTTTCGATGTTTTTGTGGAAAACGTCCCTACCTTTCTTTTTTCGGCGGATTACACCCTCACCTTTATCTTTTTTTTTTTGCGCAAAACATCCTTCTGTCAACTGCTCGTTAAAATGTTCCGTTAAATCAAAAAGTAATAAGCACAAAAGGTCCATACCTTTCAATATTATTATGCAAAACGTCATTATCTTTCATTTTTTGGCATAATTAGCACAAAACGTCCCTACCTTTCAATGTTATTGTGCAAAACGTCCCTACTTTTAATTTTTTAGCATTTTCACCCCTACTTTTCACCTTTCATTTTGAAAAATGTCCTTCTCATCCATTTTTTCAATAAAATGACGATTTTACCCTCCTATTCAAATAAAACAAAAAGAAAATATGAATAACCAACTGCAACCATAGTCCTTAAATTTTAAAAAAATTACAAAGAAATCATAAATTCCCAACTACCATCATTTTCACAACCTATCAAGCTGCCAACTATAAATCAACATAATACCACCTTTCTGCCACCATTCCCACCAGAATCTGCTATCGTAAATGTGGTTATTTTGGATAGATGGGTGACCAATACTATGGAGGAGGATATTGGGAAGAGTGAGGCGAGGTTGCTAGTGGTGGAGTCCGATAGGTGTTGTGGTCGAAAGGTAGTGCTATATGGATCTATAGGTGGTGGCTTGGTGGGGTTATGAAAGTGGTGGTAGTGGAAAGTTTAGAATTTATCTGTAATGTTTTGAAAGACTTAGGACTATGATTACAAATAATTATTTATTTTTCTTTTCTTTTCTTTTCTTTTCTTTTTGTTTTGTTTGAATAGGAGGGTAAAATCGTCATTTTATTGAAAAAAAATGGATGAGAATGACCTTTTTCGCAATAAAAGGTGAAAGGTAGAGATGAAAATGCTAAAAAAGAAAGGTATGGACATTTTGTGCTAATTATGCCAAAAAAATGAAATGCAGGGATATTTTGCATAATAATATTGAAAGGTAGGGATCTTTTGTGCTAATTACCTTTTGATTTAACGGAACATTTTAACGGAGAGTTGACAGAAGGACGTTTTGCGCAAAAAAAGGTGAAGGGTGAGAGTGTAATCCACCAAAAAACGAAAGGTATGGACGTTTTTCACAAAAATATCGAAATGTAGGGACGTTTTGTGCTAATTACCCTTATTTTATTGAAAATAAGAGAGAAAAATATATTTTAAAAATAATTGAGATAAAAAAAAAAAAGCATGACTTCCAGTAATGTCAATAAAATGGATGGTTTAAAATTTTTAGTAAATTTTAATATACGTGAGATATGAACGTAATATTATTTAGAGGCATAGTTATGATATCTAAATCGAACCTCGACCCAGTTGTGGTCCTAGGTCTCTAGTTAGTGGTTGGATCGGTGGGTCACTGGTTGGATCGATAGTTCATTACTTAAAAATAATAAATAAATTTTAAGATATAATTTTTTTTCTTTGAGATAAAATTAAATATTTTAAGTCAATTGTCACTAATTATTTATATATTTTGAAATTATAATTTTTGTGAGACATTCCATTCATCTTAATTTAAATAAATCTTTTAATACATATTACGTATATAGAATATGGTGAAATATTGGACTAAAATTTTTCAAAATATTCAGTTGTATAAGCAGATTATTGCAGTAAAGTAGCAAAATTGTTGTATGCTCCAGTGGTGAGGAAGGCATCATTTTACTTGACTGGGCCGGTGATTTTCATGTAAAATCATTGGTTGACTCAGGTTTTAATCGGGTCACTTACTTTTATATCAAATGGCCTTGCCCGACCCGGCCAGATGTGCAGCTTATCGATTTTCTGATCCGATTGACCAGCCAGGTTTAATAACACTAGTTAGGGGTCCTGCAACTTATAAACTAGAGTTTGTTTATAAACTGTCAACGTTGAAGGCAGGGGCAATTAACGTTGGGTAGAACTAGAGTTTGTTGATTGTAATTAAATGAATTTCAGCTAGTGTCAATTGAAAAAGAATATCATTGACGAATGAATCGATGGAAAAATCAAATGATAAACAACTAGATAGATGAGATATCAACTTGATCAATCAAGTTGATGGTGTCACGACAAATAACGAGCTTTCGACTTCTAATGCACTAGAGCAGCTTGTGGAAGTTGCTTTTAGGGCATTGTTGGAGCAGGTTGACCATGACTATTTTTTAAAGAGACGTTGCAAAAAATTAATAAATAAATAAATAAATTCCATAATGAAGTTGCTAGGTGCAATTGAGGTAACAGGAAAGGCTCAGCATTCTACATGAGCAAAGGAAATATGCTGTTAGTTATAATCGTGGCTCGAGCCGTCCTTCATTCACAGAAGTTTTACATACAAGACACAAATGCGTGGAGCCACAATTTATTGTCAATTTTTTATACACGCGTGGGACCCCGTCTCCTCTCTCTTCTGGCTCCATTTTGTGATCAATTAATCTGTACAATCAGATTAATTGATTTGTACAGATTAATTGGCCCCCGTTTGACCCCCATTACATTAAATTTCATTTTTCTCTCTCCTATTTTCAACCACACAATCTTTCATAAAATAATATTACACGTAAATCGAATTATTTTTTTCAACCATTTATTTTTCAAAAAAATCACTATTCCACCAATTTTTACATCAAAAAATGGGGCCAAACGGGGGCTTGATTAGATCAAAGTTGTGGACTTTCCAAAATTGTTGTATAATTTCTTAATAGCTATTTATCTTTTATCTTTTCTAGGCAACTTACAGTGATTTTTGTTTTATGTGTATTTATTATATATATTGTGTATCTATTTCCCGGCTCTTTACGACTCATTCTCTTCTATCCACTCTCTAAAGATATATAAAAAAAAATCAGCGGTGCAATGGATGATTGGTGTAGATAATTGGTGCAGTCATAATCAAGTTTGAAGCAGAAGATAAGGGAACAGATAGAGATTTAATATACAGTACTTGTGAGATAGTGTGGGACATCACTAAGTTGGAGTTTTCCCCAAAGGGTGCATTATGGGTACGTTATTAGGTTATCCTCCAATTGATAGTCCATGTATGACATTCAACTTTTAAAAAGAAAATCATATCCACTGCAATGAACCCGTGGAAACATTTTACAAAGTTCAGCGACCATTTGGGTGATTCACTCTTACAATTACAATAAACTTCTTTTCCTTTTTAGATGCACCGTGCCCAATTGCTATTGTGAATAAAACAGAAAACCGAATCTCAAAATTTCTTGACGTGATTATCAATAATAGATGAGGAAATTTGCCACAAATTTTCAGTGATTTCTTCGGAATAATCATTTCCTTCTTGTCCACAATTTCTCCAAAAATAATTTACCGCTATTTCAACATCATTTTTACATCTATTGGTGAAGCACATAATGAAACCATTGTTTTTAAACAATCGTTCATATCACAGGCATTGAACACAATACATTCAGATCATTTTTCACGAAAATTGTAACTGTAATGTAATACGTTGTGTGATTGTGACATATAAATTGTGTGACTGCGACTCCCAAACATAATTGTGACAATTTATAGTTTCAATTATGCATGTATAATTTAACGATGTGACTTAAAACATACTTAAAATTGGAATTACAGACCCCATTTGGTGGGATCAAAATCTTGATTTAAGATTTTATTTAATTATAAAATTCACAACTTTTCAATCATATATTTAAAAAATATTTTATCAAAATCAAAGATAAAAATCTGATTTCAATATCCACCAAACCGGGACATAGTTTGAAATTCATTAAAGATGATAATTAACCTTCAAAACCAATTTTGAAAATAATATAATTAAATAATAATTAATCTCAAAATCAATGATTTCACTCAAATCGACAGAGTGAAAATAAATTCAAAATCTGAGCTCACTTATTTTGACTTGTGAAAAGGCTCTCTATTCAAGGTTATAATGAAGTAGGCCTACGCGTTATGTGTGACTTTTCTTTTTCTTTGGGATTACGGTCAAAAGTTACAATCATACTTTCGTCATGTCCAACTTGCATGCACCACAAACCTTTGACTTTGCTTACAAGTAAATTTGCTTAACTTAGAAGCAAGGTTTTGTTATTTTCACACATTATTTTGAGCTGGAAAAAAATGCCACCCAAATAGAACAAAACTAAAAATTTTGGGTGGAAAAAAACACATTTTTCATAAAAAAATATTGACAATCAAACGCTCATTTATTCCTCTTTAACTAGCAAAAAGACTAATAGTACCTAAGTTAAACGACCTGCCCGTAACAACTTACTTATGGGTCTCAGTCGTCCCAAGTTTTACTACAAGATGAAACATATCCATTCCATAATATTTTTTTCTCCCTTAGACTTAGGACTAGGGCCGGACTTGAGAATTTTTGGGTCCTAAGTCGGACTTCAAATTGCATTGTACATTTTCAACATACGTAATTTTAAAAAAAAAATTAGTAAAATAAGTGAAATTAATTATCGTTGCCTATCCACATAAATATAAAAAAGGTTAATAGCACAAAACGTCCCTAGG